TGGTATTTGTATGGCCCAAAATTTACCATTGAGGGGGAAAAGCTTTAAAGTGTGCATCCTCCCATTTTGTTTTGAAAAAGTTTGTATAAGATTGCAACTTTATTGGTAGAAGGCTACACTAATCTACACTTTTTATTTTATTTGGACCATATAGATTGACTATATCTTAAGAGACGTGCTTTTGTCGACCATATCTTGAAAGATATGTCAAGTCTATAATGTCCAAATAGAGTGCAGAATATTCAAACTTTACTTTGCACCCTTTTTGTTTTATTTCTCTCACTTCTATATTTGTGAAACTTGTATACTTTTCTCCCAATTTAGAATTTTGATAATGTTAGTTTAGTTAATTTTAAAAAATAAAAAGTTACAAGTAAGAACTATTTACAAGAAATTTTCAAATTATTGGCGCAGCACTTTGAAAATCATTAGTCATGGGAATCGCACTTGGGCTTGATTTCCTAGCATGCTCACGCTCTGTCTAGAAAAATTATAATCTTATTGTTGGACTGCCCAAATAAATAAATAATTAGTGGTGGTTTACTTCACTTAAAAGAGAGCCACAAACATTCATCTTTTTGTATTATTTCTTTACAAGATATATAATTGAGAATGAAGCATAGATATAAGGAGGTCATAATTACCCATAGTAGTTAGATTTGAAACTCTTTGCTCGAGATATGTCATCTCTTTACTAAAAATCCAAAAAAAATTCTGAATTTGAGCACAGTTGACACACCGTCAGCCACATGAATTTCGCATTTGAAAGCTAAAGGTGATTGTAAAATCTTTATGTGAAAAATAAATAGTGCTATGGTATGCTCTTCCTAGTGTTATGAAATATTTTCCTTGCATAATTAAAGCTATTTGGGTTGGATCATCTCAGAAAATACTCGGAAATTCATATAGGAAGTTTGAAAAAGCGACAGACAGGAATAGGTTATTTGTTTCGAATTTCCATATTTCGCTTGTTGATCAGTACAATTAAAGTAAACGTTCTTATTTTCGTGAAAGATACAAATGCAAACGATATGTTTTATCAATTTAGGCAAGGGTTCTCACAAAACTTCTGAATATAGCATCTAATGCAGTGTTTAGGTAGATTTTTTTTTGTATAAATGTGCCAATTTGATAATTGAATACTAAGACCATGGCAAGCAATTGTCATTGCCTTTATTAGCGTTTTAAAGCCTCGCTCGGGTACTTTAAAAACCCGACTCTGCTAAAAAGACAAAAAAAAAAAAAAAAAAAAAAGAAAAAAACAAAGAAGAAAGAAAGAAGAAGAGTAAAAACAGAGAAAATAAGCAAAAACGTTACAAACACTACTGCAGAATTGCATTAGAAATATTCAAAAATAAAGTTTACTTTCATTTTATCTAGTAAGAGGTATGTAAAAAAGGAAAGGCAAAGTACTAAACTAAAAAGAATACTTTGAAATTAAAAGGCTGAAAAAAAATGTAGGACCAAAAATAAAAGAAAAACGAAAATGGAGACTTATTTGTTTTAATTCAAGATAATTGTTAGGGCTTTTGTAGATAAATATAATAGAAACGCTTTAGGACAAATTCTAGCAAACTTGGTGAAAAAGTGAGAGAAAAATCAAAGCTGTTTAATTTTGGGTTAGAAAATTCTTAAAATTTGAACTCTCGATTTCTTCTATTATCATTTTTTATTCAACAATTTTCAATGGAGATCGTTTAGAGGGCTCCAATACCAACATTTTGACTCAAATTTAAGATGCTTTGGTTGAGAAATGGGAGAGATTGCAGGAAACACAGATTGGGCCTTTGGATTCAAAGATGGCACTTTTTTGAGAAAATGTGGTAGATACTCAATTTTTTTACCAAACGCATAAATTTGTTGGGATAAGATGGATCGATCTGAGTCCAAATTGATCAAAATAGGTCTTAGATATTGATTATAGTAGCTCAAATAGAAAAAAAAAAAAAATTAAAATAACCCATATGGCAAAGATAAAATAAAGATTGTATACTATGAGATCCTTTTTTTTTTTGTTATAACAAGGTCACAATTCTTAGATGTTAAATTGGATAGCTTAGGGTGCATCACAAAGATCGAAAAAAAATTTAAATTCTGAGTCTATTAAATGACATACTCACAGTTACCCGATTTGAAATCTGAATGATAAGAGTGATTTTGAGCTCCTTGTATTAAACATAGGTATTCTCCAAGTATTAGCTCTTAGCTCTTGATCCTTTTTGATACAATCAACGAAGGACATGTTTTCCCTAATTTAGGCCAGGGTTTTCCTAAGCATGTTGAGCATAATTAACGTATTATAGAGCTAGAGAACTAATGATTAACACCAGGGAATTAATGAAGCTGCCATTATCAATAAGAATAATAAAATGTTCAAAATGATTAACCATAAGAAAATTAATGGGGTGGTATGTATAAGGCGTTGAACCTTAAACAATCGAACTAACGCGGGCCTCCACATGATGATAAAAGATGCTGTTGGGTGCTGAAAAACTTTGTTATTGCCTTAAAAATTATTTTCATTCTTAATCGTGAAATTTAAAGCTCTAAAAATGATGTAGATGGAGTAGATTTATAAAAAGATCTTGAAAATAGAAAGTCCAGATAAACCTCTATATGATACAATATTTTTAAGAGTTGAAATCTATTTTTTTCACATCCATACATCTTGGCCAAGATGATGAATTGCAGTATTTTGAAGTGTCTATAGTAGGTTAATAAGGTGCTCCTTATTTCTACAGTACAAGGTCTACACCTTATGTAAACTTTTTTCATTAAGTAAACTCAAGTACCAAATAAGAGCCAATTACGTACAGACAAAAAAAAAGTAGGTAAAATATAAAAAGAGTCGAATTTACTTAAAAATTACAATGAAGGTTATTTACTGTAGCATTTTTTATTTTTACCACAATGCCCCTTTGTTCAAGGATACTATCCCTAGACAAGTTTTATTTTTATTTTTTTCATTTTTTTTGATTGTCTCCGCTGTGTCCTATATTTTAAGATAGTTGGTGACTCGTTCGAGGTCCCCATCCTTAGATTGCCCAGATTGTAGTGTTATACCACGTTATAGGTGGCCCGAGGATGGAGAACTCGGATCCCTCACTTAAGCTCAATCTAGTTAGCTGTTTGAGATCCCTATCTTCGAACTGCCCACATTGTGGTGTTTGACCGTATTAGAGGCAGTCCAAGGATGGAGACTTTAGATAACCTATAATGTCATGTAACACGTCAATCTAGGCGGTCCGAGGATGATGACGTCGGACTGCCGGTAATGTGATGTAACACCACAATTTGGGTGGTTGGAAAATGGAGACCTCAGACCGATCGCCAATTGTCTGAAAACATAAGATACAACGAGAGAAATCGAAAAAAATAAAAGACTTCAAAAAAATTAAGAAAAAAAACTAAAATCGATTCGAGAATAGTATCCCCGGACCAAGGGACATTGTGGGAAAAATAAAAATATTACATTAAACGACCTCCTTTATGTTTACCCGAAAAAAAAGACGACATTCCCTATACTTGCCTCAAATAAAAAAAAAAAAAAAACCGACCTTCCTTACAAATTTTGAGTGAGTTCGACTCTTTGTGTATTTTTTTGTTTTTTTGTCTATACGTACGAGGCGAACATCTGTTTTTTTCTAACGAAGGTTGGAGATTAGCCTACCGGGATGAAAGTCCATGACGTAAACCACAGCGAATCTCCGTCATGCATGGTTGAGAATGCACAGTAGATGTCCCCAGCCTTCGTACAGTACATGTCCCCTGCCTTAGTACGATATGCCGTATTCATCGGTTGTGTGCATGTGGCATGGGATTGTATATAAGACATCATTTACCTCTCACATTGGGAGGTCACGATTATTTACAACCATTTGAAAGCGAGTGTATGACAAAGTTCAAAAATTGTTTTTTTGAACCTTTAGCTTGGTCAATGAAATAAATATAACTATCTAATTTCACATCCAATAGTCAAAATTAATTGTGACTATCTTGTATCAAAGGTAAGTCGTTTTGTTATATCATTTCTCGTATGTTATCCGGACCTAATCACCTTCATTCTTGACCATTGTGACTATCTCGTATCAAAGGTAAATAGTTTCATTATATACTTTTTCTTATATTATTCAGACCTAATCACCTCCATTATGTGAACCGTGATAAGAGGAAGAGGAACCGGAACGGTAACCGGAACCAAGACCGGGGGGTGGGGGTGGGGGTGAGGGTTGAAAGGCAATGACTGAGCTACAAAATGTGGCTTGAGGGCCAAGCCACAAAGTGTGGCTCGATGATCAGGTTAGGGCCTGGGCCGAGTCAAGCCTGGGGCAACGTCATGAAAAACCCTTTTTTCTTTGTTTTCTTTAATTTTATTTAGCTGGATGCGGCCTCAACAAGGCCCGGTCCAAGCCGTGCCAAGCCTAAGCGAGCCATCAGGGGAACAAGGCCAGGTTAGGACCAGCCGCAGCCGTTGCCAACCACAGCCCCGAGTCAAGGGTGCGCTACTATGGACATGGGTGCACCCTCTTGGAGCCCGTGTGGAAGACAGCGTCGTGTAAAAACAAGGACCGCAGAACCGCATATCCATTAAGCAGGAGTTCATCCTCTCTCACACAAACGTAACAATCTCATTAAGCAATAATCTCTCCCTCTCTTCTCTCACTATATAAGCCCATTAAGCAAGATTTGTAACTCTCTCTCTCTCTCTTCTCTTACTATATAAGCCCATTAAGGAAGATTTGTAAGTCTCCCCCCACTACAAGCCCATTAAGCAAGAGTTGAAGTCTCTCTCTAAGCACGAGTACATCTCTCTCTCTCTAACACATTAAGCAGGAGTGCGTCTCTCTCTCTAGGCCCGAGTACATCTCTTGGATCTTCCTGATAACACCACCTTATAAACCCCCAATTATTTAACTATGACCACCGCCCTTTCTCTCCACAGAGAGAACCACCCCACTTCGAGGCACCGTCGTTTCACCTCCTTTCTCTGCCCCCTGCAAATGGCCTCTCTCTCTCACCAAAACCAAAACCAAAACCAGCAGCACGAAAATCCTTCTCCCTCTTCTTCTCCCTCCTCCTCTCACTCCAGCAAAAGTAGTGAGAGAAACAGTAGTGGAGAAGGGAGGAGAAAGTGCAAAGGTAAAGGAGGACCAGACAATAACAAATTTAGGTACAGAGGGGTTCGGCAAAGGAGCTGGGGCAAGTGGGTGGCGGAGATCCGAGAGCCTAGAAAGCGAACACGAAAATGGCTTGGGACATTCTCGACCGCCGAAGAAGCTGCTCGTGCTTATGACCGCGCCGCTGCTGCCCTTTACGGGGCTCGCGCGCAGCTCAACCTTGAGCAGCCCGTTGCATCAAAATTAACCGCCCCACAATCCTCGGCCGCTTCGCTCCGCCCGCTCCTTCCAAGACCTACGGGCTTTAATACAGGCTTTAATCACCATATTAACGCTTATCCTTGTTCCGCATCGACTTTCTCCCTCTTGAATAACCCAACGAGCTCTTTGGGTTCATGTAATCAGTTTCCGGCAACTGTGAGTCAGTTTCCGGTACCTGTTTCTCCATATGTGGACTCGACCCAACAACCATTGATACATGGTTTTTATGATGAGATTGGCGGGCTTGCGGGATCGGTGGACGCGAGCCTTTCTCTCTCTAGGGTTTCAGATGAGAGTCTTTCTCACCCGAGGGTTTCAGGCGCTGAAACTCAAGGATACGAGGTTCGGAATGGAGGAGAGAGAGAAATTCCAGCGGTGAGTATGGCGGTGCCGCCTTCACCTTCATCGAGCCTTATGTGGCCCCCTTACGAGTACGAGCAGGCAGCGATGCTCAGTGCACTGCCACCTATGGACCCAAACCCATCTTCTCTTTGGGAGGATGGTGAGCCCTTTATGTTCGACCTCTGAGCTTGGTCATGACTTTCTCTCTCTAAACTCAGTCATTGGCTTATCTCTTTCCAACCACTGTCATGGCTCTCGCTCTAAGTTCAGTCATGGCTTCCTCTGTGGTGGTGCTCTGGCGTATTCAACATGATGATGAGGTTTGAAATAGTGCCATGGTTTTTCTTAAAGAGGATTAAGGATCGCGGATACAATGGAGTTATTGTTTCTCTCTCTAGATTTCATTGTTTCGCTCTCTAGATTTTTCTTGCATGTTTAGGGTTTTGGGTGGTTAAACCCAACATGCAGGGTGTCTAGGGCTTGCTTCTCCGCATGCATTCGGCTTTTCTCTGTGTTACACTGAGGAATTCAAGAAACCCTAGTAGTTTCTTGAGAGATAAAACCCTAGAGAGAGAGATTTGGGAGCTCAGACAGAGGGATAACCGATAAACAGCATTGCATGGCATGTTAATCTTGAGATATTCACTTTCTCTCTATACACCTTCATCACCTAGCATGGTGAAACTCTTATTAGTCCATTTCCTCGGCGATTCTTCCCCAGAACGCGGTGTTAATCGGCAAATCATCTGTTAAAACTCGCCTAGTTACTTACTAGCTGACAATTGGGGGACAAGGGATTAATCATCGGTTCAAGAATCGCCTATTCCTCGGGAATCCCTCGTCAAGTACCTGATTATTTGCATAAAAACTTCATTGTAGTATGCGGCTATGTGCTACGGCAACTTGGTTTTAGTAGATCATTGATTTAATTATGGGTTTTTATTTTTTTGACAGAAAATTATGGGTTTTTATTCTTCACTTATATGACGAGAAATGAAATAAAGTCTGTAATTTTCCTGTAGAAGTGTTTTTAAGTTTATGGTTTGTTTGTTTTTTCTTCTCAAGTTCTAATTTTCTTACAATTTTCATTTCTGTTTTTGTATTTGTAACCCTCGAGTTCAATTTTAACATTGAGTAAATTACATACGGACAAAATAATCACCTAAAAAACGAAATGATCAGATTATAGGCGGAAATTACAAAAGAATGTCGGTCAATGCAGGTTTTTTTATTTTTTCAAAATTGCCCCACGATCCGACGATTTCATCCTGCCTGATCTTCACACCGTATTTTAATATTTTTTTTGTTAGCAGGGTAGATCCCAAGTTTTAGTAAGGTTAGAATTCTCAGATCGCCCAACGAACATAGCAAACCCTAGTAGAGCGGTTCGAGGTCCCCATCCTAGGACTACTATTTTCAATGAATTGTGATATAAGGATGGGGATTTCAGATTGCTGTTTTTCTCAAAAAATAAGAAATAAAGTGTGGTCCGAGGATGGGGACTTTGGACAATTGTTTTCCTTAAAAAAAATAAGAAAGAGAGAGTGATACGAGGATGGGAACTACGGATCGCTCAGAAATTGAGGCCTCCTCAATCTAGAGGATGGTCCGAAGATTCTAACTTCGGATCGTTTGGGCACTGCACCTAAAGCATTATCTATCCTAAAGCTTGAGGCACTACCTCAAGCTTGGTAAATTTCCATTCTCAAATCGAGGGGTAATTTTGAAAAAAACAAAAAAAAAAAATACGGGTTGATCAATTTTATGCGTAATTTTCGTTTAAAATTGCCCCATTTTGTATTTTAGGTAAAATTTTCGGATCCGTACGTAAGTCAGTCTTTTAACGTTTCATGATTTTTTTTTCAATAGTATGATTGGGGTGAGTGTTTTAATTAAAGAAATGACTTTTTTTGTAATATATTGCTGAAATATTGCACATTTTCTTTAGAAAGAAAAATTTTCTTGAATATGTGCGGTCATTGTATTATCACTAATTAAGGGTGTTCTTTCTCCATCTATGTATTTTCTCTATGGTACGGGCATCGATGGTCTATGCAAATGTGTTTTGTGTAGGTGCATGCATTGTTTGTGTACGTATGTCCACGTATTGTGCTTTCCTTCTTTCATTTTTGGTGGGTTTGCTGTTATTTGCTACCCCAGCAAGTGAGCATGCATGCTCGCATGCATATCCTGCACACATGTCTGAATTTGTATACATACCAATGCCATGCATTTATTTGAAGAATTGACCAGAATGATGAAAGAAGAAACTGGAGCAGTTTAAAAAGTTGCACTATTGAACTAGCCAAACGCCGAGCTATTATATCAAGGTTACTTGGAGAATAATCTTATTATTTTTACAAAACTTATTAAATTTGTTTGATATATATTCACCACACGTATGACTTCTTAAAATTTTAAATTTTTATTTTATTAATTTTCAACTTTGGCTTTGAAGATCTTGAATTTTTCAAAAGCTTTGTCTTTATACCTTAGCAAGTATGCACATATATAATGAGAAAAATCATATATGAAAGTGATGGAATACCTTCTTCTTCTTTTTTTCCTCTTGTGAGTATATTATTCAAGTTATAAATAGGGAAAATTTCGTATAAAACCTTAATTTCTCATATTATTTCATGATATACCCTCCTTCCGTTTTTCTTTCAAGCGACATGAGAAAACTCTTAAGGATTTTACCATACCCCCTCATCTATTATCTCCCTCTTTTATTGATTTTTTATCATAAAAATTAGCCTTAACAAATATTTTTATACTATTTAATCTCAAAAACTTTTTTAACCTTTTTCATCCATTTCTACTAATTACAAAAGTTTTTGAGTTGAAATGATATAAAATATTTGTTGGGGCTAATTTTTATAATCAAAACTCAATAAAAGAAGAAGATAAGAGATGAGGGGGTAAGGTGAAATCCTTAGGGGGTTTCTTATGTCGCTTAAAAGAAAAAAGGAGGGAAGGAAATAACACGAGGAATTAGGGTTCTATACGAAATTTTTCCTTATAAATATCGCTATGTACAAGGTTTAATCATTCAACTCTCCTTTTCACTTAAGGGAATGACTTTTTTATTATTTTGTTGTACATGCAACTCACATTTTTCTTTAAGTATATCACCACCATTAGAGATGAGTCCAACTTAACCATGTCTTATTATTGCAGCAAAATTTAAATGGCAGATATCTCCGTACATCCTATTTTTAGGTTTCATTATTCAAAAACCTCTTTGACCAACTTTACCTGTTTTGACCCCATTTTTTAGCCCAAACAAAATTAAAAAATATGCTTCCTTTTCCAAATCCCACTAGTTTCTCGATCATATTTGCTTGATTTTGAGGCTTTTGATGCCTTTTTCTATATCAACACTCCTTTAAATAGTGTTTAAGTTTTCCACAAATAAAAAACACTCCCTTTCTTTTTAGAATTCTCATTTTTTTATAATTATCATTTTGATTATGTGGAAAGAAAGATAGTTTATTTTTATAAACCATATGTTTGGACTTGTGCTTCACAAGGTTAGCTTTGAATTCAAATTCCATTGCTTCCTCCTTCTTTGCTCAAAGTTTGCTCTCTTCTTCTATACAAAGAGATCGTTGAAATTGATTTGAGTTAAGTTGTTTACACATTCGGTTGACTACAAGCATATTTTCAGTGAACTTAAATTCCAAATAATTTGAAATAAAAACTATTTTGTTACCTGATTCTTCCGGTTGTTATTTGGTCTCCAACAGTTACCAAAATTCCGTCGCCAATACCACAGAAGAATACATGTCATACATTGTAAATGCATTGAGGATATCTTGCAGATGTAATTATCCGCCATCGACTACTATCAAAATTTGGTTAGCTCCGGGTTCTCCTCTTTATTTGGTCATGGTTACTCCGGTATTTATTCATTGCTGACATATGCGATCTTAAGCTACCCAAAAAAATGTTGGTAAAGAAAAATACGAGACCTTTTGAAATTCGTCCCATCAAAATGATCAAGTTTCACGAATTCTTGATTCATGACTTTGATTGAGCTTGCAGTTGTTTCCTTTATTTCACCCAAATGTTGTTTGAATTGATAAATGTGGGTAAAATAGGGTTTGTAAAATCTGATTGTGGAGGCTTTAAAAGAGTTTTGGTAAAGGATGGTTATCTGAAGACTATATTGCCCCTACGATTAAAATCAATGTGCATAAAGTTGTGCAGAGAAATTAGTACTTGGGACATCTAGAAATAAAAAATCTTTATATTTGCCTATTTATTGCAACAAAATTATGAGCATTTAATGCACCCAAGTAACCTTTTATTTTTAGAGAAAGAAAGTAGTTATTGCTAGAAAATTATTTTTAAGAAGATAAAATAGTTATTCCTAGAAATTGGATTAGAAAAAATATATTCAAAGTGGTAGAAAAGAGCCATATGTATAGAATTAGAACTGTGACCGTTTAGTAGAGAAATGGACTCTTGAGTGGTTGTAAAAACTTGTCAGGGATGGTTACAATAACTTGTGACCTCTTTGTACCAAATGTAAATGGTCCCATTATATAAAACCATTTTTTTATGTTGGGTTTTGTCATAGTGCTCATACTATAAAGCATTTTATAATTGTGTTCGAAAAATTTTCAACATCCATTTTCCTTTTGTTTTGTATATGGAGCATATCTTTAGTAAGAGTATTTTTGGGTCTCATTGTATATAATCCCTTTTTTTTTTATTGGGTTATGTTAGGGTGCTCACACTATAGAGCAATTTATAATGTATTGAATTTTTGGACACTTATTTTCCTCTTGTGTTGTATATGGAAATATTTTTTAGTAACGGTATTTTTTCTCATTATGAGGGGTGTAACATCATCCACATGAGATGTGAAAGCACCCAATTAAAGTATTTTTGAGTCTCATTATATATAATCCATTTTTTTTTTATAAGATGCTCACATTATAAAGCATTTGTAATGAGAAAAGTTTATAGAAGGTTGTAACCTTAAAATGTAGAATAACAGATGCACCTAAAAAATCTATTGAAAATGTTGTTTTAATGTTGAAAAAACACTCTAATCGATCATCCGACATCGAGATGTATGAATATGTAAAAAAAACAAATTTGAGTCCCAGAAATAGTGCATCTTGCAACACATTATCTAGACCGTCCATTTTCAAGATTTTCATATATTTATAGAT